AGATAGACCATACGCTTAACTACAATAAATATATTATCCCGCATCTGCACAACCAAAACTAGTTTCTCATTTCTGTCCAATCCTATCGAGAATCTCATATCTGCCCTACTCTGTTGTGTATCTTACATCTGCCCAACCATCTTTAGTATCTCATATCTGTCCTTTCCTATCAAGTGTCATATATCTTTCAAACCCTATCTTGTTCCATATTTAGCCACAATATACAAACATAGTTGTATTGTGGCAGCTTAGATAAATATATAAATCACAAAAACAAAAACAGATCATTGTGTCGTTTGGGCTCTGATGTTGACATTGCATGGGAACTAGTTGCTTTAATAATGCTACCAGTGATACAACACAGGATGTCAAGTATTTTCAAGGATATATGGGCGCTTCCGCCATCAATAATACAAATACAATTATTCTAAACAAAGAGACCAGGTCCATTATTGTGTTTAAAATCCATATTTGAATCAGTTGTATGTACTGTAGGATCACACATTTGTAAGATCAATAATGTAATTATGTATAGGTTAGAATGCCGTTTCTTTACGGGCCACAAGAAGAGAGGGACCCGTTGAATGTCTTTCAGAGTGGTTCAAGTCAGTGCGTGATGTTATCATTGGTAGAATGCACAAAGTTGAAAAGCGGAATTGGAATAAACTCATTCTGTCCCAGCCAGCTGCCATCCAAAGTCTGACTTCCCCACATGAAAAGTGTGTAGTTGTTCCCACTGACAAGGCCTCAAATAACATAACCATTATCTGTAAGCATCACTACATTAATTTTTTATCAAAGATAAAACAATGACAGATAAATGACATATCAAATAATGCCACTTATAAAGCCAGTATGTTCCAAATCTTCCAAAACCATGCATCATGATCAGTACTATCTACTTTTGACTTGTCTCTAAAAGCTGAAGACATGTCCAATCCCCTTTGTACTGGAGGGGCGGTCGGGTAGCCTAGTGGTTAAAGCGTTCGCTCGTCACGCCGAAGACCCGGGTTCGATTCCCGACATGGGTACAATGTGTGAAGCCCGTTTCTGGTGTCCCCCGCCGCGATATTGATGGAATATTGCTAAAAGCGGCGTAAAACCATACTCACTCGCTTACTCACTTTGAACTGGATTCCAAAGCTACATAAAAATCCGCACAAAGAGAGATATATTGCTTGGTCCAAATAATGTACCACCAAATCCCTTTCTAAAAGACTTACCATAATCCTTATTACAATCAAGGAAGGGCATTCTTTATATTCACAGAAAATATTAAAGACAATTGGAATTGATACCAGAGATACAGTTACGTATCAATATTCAGAGGTTCAGAATTTTTTTTAAAACATGACAGTAAATGCCATCTGAAGTTTACTGAGTAAACAATATGTGAAATGCTGGACTTCGTCACTGATAACATGTTCGTTGGTTGGTTGGTTGGTTTGTTGTTTTACGCCGCACTCAGCAATATTTCAGCTATATGACGGCGGTCTGTAAATAATCGAATCTGGACCAGACAATCCAGTGATTGACATCATGAACATCGATCCACGCAATTGGGATCGATGATCATGACATGCATCAACCAAGTCAGCGAGCCTGACCACTCGATCCCGTTAGTCGCCTTTTACGACAAGCATAGTCGCCTTTTACGGCAAGCATGGGTTGCTGAAAACCTATTCTACCCCGGACCTTCACGGGTCGATAACATGTATTATTTGGGGCTAAGACATTTAGGCAAGAAGTAGACATCCCCATGGGCACCATACAGCTGGCAAGTAGTGCTCCCCTTTGGAATTGAATATTTCTGGCAAGTAGTGCTCCCCTTTGGAATTGAATATTTCTGACTCAAAATGTCTGGGACAAGGTAAGTCAAAACAAGGTAATTTTGTCAAGAAGTTTAACTTAAGCTTCAAATATATCGATGATCTGATATCGTTCAATATTAGTCACATGGCCAATTACCTTCCACTGATTTACCCGCCTGAACTAGAAATAAAGGAGATCAGTGACAACTTACGAATAACTACGTAAAACGTTATTTTTATCATGATCACATAAAAATATCAAGATACTGATTTTGTGAAATTATCTACCTTCACTTAAAGTCTTTGAACAGCATAAAAAAATAACAAACACAAAGCATTAACTAAGACGTGAATTTAAGTATGTAGATACTTGATGGAGAAAGACTCTAATTAGGCCCTGAGGCTTTGTAAAATCATTACTGAGAAAATCAAATCCAGTGTCTTCATATCGACTTCAAACTTTTTGCATGCTGAAAGATCCCACAACAATATAATGTTAACAAATAAAAATAATTGCACGTCGATATCCCAATTCTGTTTAGAGAGGATCAATCTATGGGTAACTTAGACCAACACAGTCAACACAACATGTTTGTCTGCTGAGTATCAGGATATTCCGTTCAGTCGAAATAGTATTACCAGTAGGTGAGTGAGTATGTATAAATGCTGCAATATGCCAGCCTTGTCCAGACAGAGAATACCCCAGTGGGCTTCTCACGATGTACCTATGCTGTATATTGAACGCGGATCTATGACGTGACAAGATAGCACACGAACTCCATGGCTCCCCCACCACCAAATAATATTTTGCTTTAAGCGACAGAGAGAATCGACGGAACCCTTCTACACATTCTCAATTCAGTTTCATGCTTTTACTTTATTATGTTTGCTTATATGAACCTGCATTTTAAAATCACATTTTCGATTACATCTCGGATATTAAACGTAAGTGTCATGAAATATCACGATGATGAATAAGCGAAGGCAGCTACGTGTGTGCTAATACTTATAAAGTGCAACAAGCAATTCCGCCGTTGAGGAATATTACTTACAGTAATGACAAAAATTACAAAGTGCGATGTTTAAGAAATATGAATTTTTCTGGCGATAAACATCACCATTGAGTTTTGATCGCATTGTTAGTATCCGGGTAATCTTCGGCAGTAAGGTGACTATATTTAGGCTATATTTAGCAGCGTTTAATTGATGCGAAATATGGGGACATCATAGATCAGAGGTAGTAGAAAGGGTCCAATATCTAGCATGTAAATATGATCTTGGTACAGGAATTAACACTCACGATGTTATGACTTCAGTAGGGGAATGTGGACGGTACCCATCGTTCATAAATAGTTCGAATTCGGTGAAATGCATTAAATAGTGACTAAAACCACTATCTATGCGACCTGATAGATTTAAACTGATCCTGTACTGTGTTGTATGCACTTTGTGTTGTTGGGCCTATGGCTTTTCATACAACAAACATTTGAATTTGAAAATTGACTGAAATGACGTGTAGATAAACCTTCCATACACAGTCATAAATTCTTTCTTTCCATCTCATTCACTTAAAGTAAAGACCCTGAATTTGTTTCAAATAACTTATTTATTGTACTCTACCCAAATAGTCAAATAAATTTTATCTGAACACACAGAATTCACATTGTCACAGCAAAACCAAACCAAACCACAGCCATTCCAAATGTTCATGTAGGGTTCATCATAATTCAGAATCACAATACACTTCAAATCACAAATGAAATCTTCAAACTTTGCCGAATAAGACAAAGTCACATGCTGACATCAACAATGTTAAGGACCGCCTCCGTGGTCTAGTGGAAGAGCGTCCGCCCGGAGAGTTGAAGGTCTGGGGTTCGATCCCCGGCCGCGTCATAACAAAAGACGTCAAAAGATGGTACTTGTTGTTACCCTGTCTGGCGCTCGGCATCAAGGGACTTAAACAAGGACTTGTCGGTTCGGAGTCAGTATACTGTGTCTGAGTGGGGTATTCATGTTAAACTGCGGCATGGTATCTCAGTGAGCTAGCACTATAAATCGGCATCAGTCCCGACTCGTACAAGCAGCCACACATACAAACACAGACACGTGCATGCACGTCGCTATATAAGTGCAATAATCTTGGACGCGACGTTAAACCCAATTTCACCTCACCTCACAATGTTAAGAGAAGGTTATCAAAAGTCACAAAATGCCAACAGCGAACAGTCACTTCCACACCAGCGAAGACATCAACAGATAGTCATTTTCCAGGCACAAAGAAAACAACCACATAACAACGCGAACACAAGAATGTGCACACAATGCTGGCAATGTTAATCAGAATCTCACACCAACTGTAGGTCTCGAGAAAACGAGGAAAGAGCAGCTCCAATGGTGTATCGCATTCCGAGGGTGTTGTGACTTCACTACATAGAGTCACCTGATGAAGTCATGTCCAAAAAGACACGGGTCTTTATATACATCAGCCCCACGTCCGGCGCCAAAATGTCGCAGGAACAACAAAGATCATGCTCTGGATGATGTGTGGATTATTGTGTCGACAGACCTGTGAATACAACATATTAAATGTTATATATATGGAAAATTGTGCCGACATGGTGTCTCTCTCATAGACCATGTTTTATTGAAACCATTAGTTATCAACAATATATCATAATACACCATGTTGGTTCAGAAAAAGCAACTATATTCTATATCAGGCAATTCTAAATGCAAACTACTGCCTCTACAGGTGACACAAATGAAGATTAATAAAAAAACAGATTTGCAACAGATTTAGCCTGCAACACATATGGTCGTTATACAAATCAAATAAGTAGTAGTAGTAGTAGTAGTAGTAGTAGTAGTAGTAGTAGTAGTAGTAGTAGTAGTAGGAGTAGTATTAGTAGCAGTAGTGTAAATACTGCAGATGCGACCATAAAACTCACGCACTCACATAAGAACCCACATCCTATTTGAAAATATGTACTTTGGATGTGTCTGCCACTTTGAAGACAACATGATGTCAAAATAAAGATGTGCATGGTTTCCCAGATTCAGGCTTCGCTCTGACAATGTTGTAACGTGATTCTTCGCGTATAAATTGCAGTGTATGTCATAGATCGTGTTGAAGTCTAAGTTTTTTTGGCTTTTTTTAACTTCTAATTGAATGTATCTTGTCATTCATAGCTTGACAACCCTTGTTTTCACGGTGGAGACTATGACGTGTCAAACAACACCTGCGTCTGTTACGGCGGCTACGTTGGCGACCTGTGCGAAAGGCTCATGCAAGGTACGTCCTGGGTAAAGTCAGTTTCAGAATCATTGGTGAGAGAATCACAGTAAAGTAGCCTAACACAACCCGCAGTATTGCATGTCATCAGTATACAGGATAACTATGTCCTACCATGTAATACTAGAAATACCAGCACTCAAATCCGCACCATTTGTTCAAAGCGACTGTGTCCCGCTGTCTTGTGAGATGTCTACACGATGTGACAAGATTTATTAAAAATTATGATTGGATTTAAGACTTAACTAATACCATACACTTTGGTTTTCTTGTAGACTGCAGTGAGGGGTTCCTCTATAGTTACTATGCCAGTCAAGATGCTAACTTCCTGTGCCATCCAAACGGTGCTCCTAAACCGATCAAGGTGCACTGTCTCATGACGTGGGGGGGAAGAACACTACTCACGACCCAGGCTTCAGGAAATGAGAATTTTACCAGAACGTGGGAGGAGTACAAGACAGGGTTCGGTAGGATGTCAGGTGACCACTGGCTAGGAAATGACAATATACATTACATAACTAGTGGTAGAACACACTATCTTCTTCTTGAACTTTGGACACCCGGTTCAGACATCGATAATCAAATAGAGCAGCGGTTATACGTGGACTTCCTGGTAGGGCCTGAAGTAGACGACTACATGATGACCTTTTCCTCAGCTTTTCCAAACCCACAATGGGTGCAGCTTCCTGAAGAGTGTCTTGTGCGCGACACGCCCTTCAGTACCCCAGATGTGGACCACTCCGGGGCAGCTGGTGTGACACAGTCTGGCTTCTGGTTTACAAACCCTCCTGAGTGTAATCCAACAGGGCAGCTGAAACCCAAAGACATCTTCTGGCGCGGGGACAAGACTGACCTGTTCTGGAAGGATAGTATTGACGGCGAGGCTGTCAACAAGATCAATGTCTTTATGCTCAGTGGCCATCCAAGTGACCATGGGTGATCCTGTTACAGGTCCGCCAAGTACCTGCATTGATGCTTTCATTCCAGTCAAGTAAAGTCATACGATGTATACATCCTTTTAAAAGCTGGTTTGTCTTCGACTAAAACCGTGAAAGCTTCGAGTAACTGAAATATCATGATGATTCCAATGAATTAGTTTAGAGAAATCACCAAACTCCAGATGGTGACACATGCCTAAGAGTGTCTCACTGTGTCATTACCTTTGTAATATTGTAAATATTGATTACTACAAACGTTATCAGTTACGTTGACCCAACATTGTTAAAAACACAGCACCAAGTAGGAGAAGCTGTCAGTTAACAGTGGCGCCACTTAAAAAATTTTTCGAAATGTTGTAAATATGTTAGACCAACGTAAGGATTCAAACGGCGAGATTGCCAATCATTGCCAGCGTTGGGCCAACATCTGAATGTAATCTGGAAGCCAACAGGCGACAGGTTTATTCGATCTATGACGACACAGTAGACACAAATTATGGCTAACAACTTCTTGATATACTAGAAAAGCAACGGTTTGGAATACACCCTGAGAGCGCTGTCAACAAGACTTATTTATAACACTTTATGTAATAATTGCAGACTGTGATTGGATTATTCTCTAACCATATTGATATGTCAAACAATCGCAAATTTGAGTGTTACAGGTAACTGAAATACTCACAAAAATTGAATAATTTATCCTGAAGGTCTTCGCAAACCTTGTGTTGAGTCTTTGTTGGACCTTTTCATTATTTAAAGAAAATTTTACTTTCTCAATAGTAATTTCAATTGGATTCTGCGATCGTTTTCGACACATATACTTTCATGAACATTACGTCTGATTTCTTGTTTGTTGAAACTGTAAATAACGTCAAAACAACCTCCTTTCTTCTGAGCTTTTCTTGCATGATTATTAACGATGATTCGTTTATTTATTTCTCCTAATAAAGCTTAAACCGTCACTTCTTTGTTCATGACTGTTTGGGGACTCCTGGTATTGAGGGGACGGGTTAGAAATAATGAATGGTAAAGAATGTAATACCTAGGCTATGTAAATGAACTACTTGCCAAGGTTTGGTATTCTCCTAACTGCCTCAACGTAATTCTAGCAGTATGGCTATAATCATTTACATTCTAAATCTGCATCATAAGTTATTTGCTGTTTGTTTAACGTCGCATTCAGCAATAGTCGAGCTTTGTGTCGGAGATCTGTAAGTTAGAGAATCTGTACCAGATAATCCAGTAACCGAAATTATGAGCATCGAACTACGCTAGAGGGATGGGATGACAAACACCAGCCAAGTCACCGTGCCAAGATACCCGATCCATTTTGTCGCCTCTTACGACAAGCACCTGCAACAGAAGATCAATTCTGACCCGGATCTTTACAAGTGTCAACGGGCTTGTGTTGACGGGGAATTAGCTCTTGGGGGAATAAAGGACCAAATCGACATCACTGTCCCGGAACGCTTTATGCACAACATGTAAATAATTAACAACAATTGCACAATGAGCGGAATACCTGCTCTGACAACACTAACACAGCGATGAGCGGACTTTCAGGCTCAGGCGTACAAGAGGTGAGCGGAGCTCCAGCTCACCTCAGGGCGTTTCCTACGAGCGGCATATCCTGCTCGAGGTCGTCCCTATGCCAGCACTCGGAATACCAAGCCTGACTAACACCCAAGTAACAGTGTAATGGTAGCACATGTATAGTAATGAACAACAATGGACAGACAAAGAGACAACGACGTTACTTTGGACATTGGACATATGGGCGTGATTAACCAACACAGTTCATGGGATGATCAATTAGGGCAGTAAATGCCATACTATAAAAAAGCAGTAGTTAAAGGGAAGTGATATGGTAGTCCAGGCTGACTGACAGTCAATATACAAGGAAATGTTGGTGAGGATTAACAACGGGATTTAGCGCCTAAAACGTAATGACAATTAAGTTATGGAGACATGGCTACAGGGTAATTTGCCCTTGGAGTCAAATGTACTGCAGACAATGGTAGTCATAAATCAGTCGCTACGACACAAGGGTCATACAGTACAATCAATGGTAAAATCCCAGACCCAAATTTAAGTTGTTGTCGCACTTGAGGCGAGCAGAAACTCCACTGTCAATATTTTGTTCATAATACCTTGATACAGATATGATTTATAATAATAATCAGCAATTTGAAACGTATTGCTTCCGGCTTGGTGAAATGGATTATTGTATTAATCGTATATTAAATTTATCAATATCTGTCTGAACAACTTTGATTGAGTTGTGTTGTCTTCACGTGCTTACTGTTCAAGCATACGCCGTCATCCATCGTAACGTGACAACGCCGTAGTTCCAGGCATGAAGCACTCAATAACACCTGCAAATCGGAAAACACAAATGGCTTGTGTAATAATTCATGTTAGTAACTTGGAGTACAAGAGGCTACATATCTTAGAATTTATGAACAGTGAGAATCTGTCGCTTTCCAGGTCCAGCTTTTAAATCTACACATTTAAACACTTTATAAAAGAAAAAAAATTTTTACATTGTTGGCAACCTTCACATGTCACATCCAGGTGAAGAAGTTGTAGGCGTTTATGACTTTGGCGAACCAACGACAACGGGTGTGATGGTGACAAACCAAGGATCATACTCATAGAGAATCTGGGAAAATAACCCCCACACTAGCAGTGGAAATAAATACACCGATGTCTTGCATCATGTCATAGGAAGGATAATAACACAACTAACAACATCCTCGTGTATTCAATGCATTAAATCGTCATTCTATTTGGTTACATCTAGTCTCATTCGCCACTATAAAAAGCTGTTCAATCACATTCCTCGCATGATGAAGAGAATATCAGTGCAAAATTATTGATTGTGGACATTGAGATTGAAACGTCATTTCCGAAACGAACTACGATAGAAATGTCATCTCTCTTGTCATACCGTTTTGATAGACAACTCATTTGTCACCATTTATGCACAGACATAACTATGAAACAGATAAGGCGACTTCACTGGTTTCTTTCTAGCTCAGGTGGGTAAATCAGGGGAATGAAATAGGATATTTGACCATTATTAAACGATATCAGATCATCGATATACCTGATGAGTAAGTAAAAACTGCTTGACCAAGCTCCAATCTTTTTCCAATCCGAGCAGAAATGCTGACGCGTATGCATAAAGAAATAGATCAGTAAGGAGGGGAGTATAATGGGCCTAAATGTCACAAGCCCCAATTTCTCACAGGAACTCCAGTATTTCATTTATAGATTTCTCAGTAAACTTCAGATGATATTTACTTTCATTTGTGACAGATTGTTGTGAACGTTTGAAGTAGAGAAAAAAATCAGTACATTTAGCTTAATGCCTCCAGTAAATAACAACAGTTCATGTAGATAACGACGATCTAAATTGCAAAATCAAACATAGAGCATGGTGTCTTCTTGGTGCTTTTGTTGACATTGCACGATCAATATTTGTTCAATAATAAAACCAGTGATACAATGCAATCTTTACAATTGTTAAAGACATATGTACACCTCGACAACAGCAAAAGCAATTGATATTAACAAAGACACCAGTCAATTAATGTAAATAAATCCCCATTTGAATCAGTTGTATTGAGTGCAGCATGACACGCTCGCTCTGAGACACACTTGTAGGATCAATACTGTTAGAATGCTGTGTCTGTATGATAAAATAGACAATAAGTTAAACCAAAACAACTATTAGCATTTTATCTGTAGGACGAAAAGCATGTGTTTGTGCTTCAGAAATCTAAGTTACTACTATTGAAATCCGGAAACCTAAATCGATTATCTCATTATATTTCGTTCAAGCATGCTCTTTCTACCAATATTGGAAGGAGCAGCATACGACTCTTGCTCAGAAATTGTCTTATCAAGGTAACAACATTCAAGGCCTCAGTAAAGTTTTCAAAAGGTTTCATTGTAGATATGAGGGGAACATTTCCTTTTTTGATGCATTAGAAACCAAAATTATGTCCCATCCTATTCCCTATTTTGACTTATTTTGACAATATGTTCCCGACTGTTTCAGCTGAACAATTAACGTGCCTTTGCATGTGTGTGTGATGGGTATCACAGGTTGGGCAGGATGCGCTCGCCTTTTTTGCGAACCCCTGGTATCCACACTAGTTGATAGTGATTCATAAACACATGCTCATATTATAATCGGAATCGTACACTTGACTCTTGATTCTTCTGAAAATGGAAAGTGTTTTGTCGCTTTTATTTAGCAGGTCCGTGGTAATTGTCTTTGACTCTTTTACTTTGCGACGTGGTATGGCAGGATTATTACTGGGTGCGTCGTTTTATGCAACTTGTGTATGGCAAATGCTACCGGTAGAGGACATGCTTACCCTTTTCCGAGCAGTCCTGGTCTCATTACTGATTTTCAGTGATTCATATATTTAATTTTCATCACTATTTTACCTTTTACACCAATGGATTCTGTTCCTGCAGATATTACCGACTGATTATGTTCTGGCGTTGTCGATTTATTAATTAAATGCATTTTCCATCGATTCCCCTGCTACGTGCGACAATCTGGAAAAACATACAATCAGTATCAATATGCATGGAAGTTTGAGATGTATGACACTTGCCAAGATGTAAACCTAAGTCTGTTGCTTTACGAGATGGTCAACCCCTCGAGGACACCCCCTCATATTGCCACACGTTGACGCTCGTATGACGATCGTGAATACGTCTCCCCAGACGTCCAGTCGTATCCAGAAAGTGAATCTTGAGACCACTGGTGATTCTCTCAGTTCCTACGCTCCAAACATCCTATGTCAGTGCCTAAATTATTAATACGATACTTATTACATCTTAACTAGATTTGCACTAAGTGTTGTCCTTGTCTGCAGTTGAATGTGATATATGACTTTTGTTCAAAAGTTGTTGGATCAAGAATAACAAGTATTTGTCACAAAGTGACGAAATGTCCCCCGACGCCTTATGCGATATGTGTTGTTTTTTTCCTAATATTTTATTCCTTTGGAATAATATTATGTTCTGTGTTAGATACCTCCATGGAACTATTTGTCGTAAATTTTGGATAAATCGAGGCAACACCCGTTTTCCAACTCCAAATGCCAATATCATCAAACATGAAGGAATCCAGAAATTAGTTCTTGAGATATCGCAGCAACACTGTTTTCCATCTCGAATAAAAGATTTCCCTGCTGTTACCTTGAAAATTAAGTTAAGGTCACCAAAATCGACTGGTGTCTGCGGAGTCTGTATATACACCATAGTACCAAATATGAAGACAATCCAGCGATTAGTTCTTGAGATATTGCGGCAACACCGTTTTCCAACTCCAAAAGCAGATTTGCCTGCTGTGACCTTGAAATTGGATCAAGGACACCAAAACCGACTGGTGTCTGCGGTGTCTGTATATACACCATAGTACCAAATATGAAGACAATCCAGCGATAAGTTCTTGAGATATTGCGGCAACACCGTTTTCCAACTCCAAAAGCAGATTTGCCTGCTGTGACCTTGAAAATGGGGTCAAGGTCACCAAAACCGACTGGTGTCTGCGGTGTCTGTATAAACACCATAGTTCCAAATATGAAGACAATCCAGCGATTAGTTCTTGAGATATTGCGGCAACACCGTTTTCCAACTCCAAAAGCAGATTTGCCTGCTGTGACCTTAAAAATGGGGTCAAGGTCACCAAAACCGACTGGTGTCTGCGGAGTCTGTATATACACCATAGTTCCAAATATGAAGACGATTCAGGGTTTAGCTCTTGAGATATCGCGGCAACAAACAGGTGGGACGTACGGACGTTCGTACGGACGGTCGTGAATACTATGTCCCCCGCTCCGCGCTTTCGCGCGGCGGGGGACAATAACAGCAGTCATGTACAGGAACTCGGGAATGGTCTTACTGAAGAGTGGACCAATATTGCCTTGCAACCCTC